GAAAAAATATATTACAATAATAATTCAAGTTTGAATTATTTAAAATAATGAAGATCCAGCTTCGACCGTAATAGGCATTTTAAATTTCTTTTCTCTATTTATTTTTACAATATCTTAACATGTTTAATTTATTTCTGGATTACCTAGCATTTATTATATGAGTAATGAATAAAATTAATTATAACGATATTATAATATTTTTTTGTATATTAATTTTTTAATAAGTTTAATAAGTTAGTATTGTATTAATATCGATATTTACCCGAGGTCATGAAAGGCAAACTGAAATCCACAATGGATTTGCGGAAGGATGTTATACTTAAATCGGATATAGCAAGATCGGCTTCCTGAAATTTTTAAGAAATAGATCATAAATAACAGATTACTGAAAAGTGATGTAAACTCGAATTATTGTTTGTTATCACAATAAGTAAGGAAATCTTGTAAAATGAAGATGGCAAATAATTAACGTAGATTTTAAATATAAAAGGTGGATTATTACAATAAAAAAAATATTATTATTAATTTAATTGTAATATTATGTAATTAATTTAATTGTAATGAAAATAAACTCAATTGATTTATATGTTTCTGTTCTATCTTTTCATAAAAGAAATTTTTTTTATTTTAATTTGTTGCCAAAATAAGGTGATAAAAATAAATTAAGAACAAATCTTTCTTTAAGCGAAAGTTTCTGCATGGAAAGTACAATTTTGTTGAAATATTAAAAAATTTAGTTAGATGCAAATCTGAAAATAATTTTCTCGAGACCATCGAAGTAATTAGATATGTAGTAAACTCAATCATGATTAGCAATGCTGTGAAATGTTTCAATATTCCAAATATCAACTTACACCTTCTATAAAATTATTTTGACAATCTAACAAAATTATTTTTAGATTTTGTTTCTAGCAAAATTTTTAGATATTTTAACAAATAATTTTTTTTTCTCTGTAAAATACAGAATATTTTACTTACATAATCCAGAATGCTCCTGATTAGACCATTCCAAATCCTCGTTTGTGGATTATAATTGCCATATCCATCAGTTACAAGTTGGAATACTATGCCTTTAAAGCGTAGAAAATTTGCGATATGATTAATCAAATCGATGCAATAACCTTCATAGCGTTTTTGACCAATTAGTATTCCTCGCGTTGAACCATCGATCACTTCCATAATGTAGGGTGCATTCTGAATCGGAGGAAGTTATTACATATTTTATATTTCCAAAAATATTTGTATAATTTAGACTTAGCGAATTCTGACTACAATAAATAAAAAGAAGAGTTAAGAGAGAGAGAATACTCGTAATACAATTATATGTAACTTCATTGATTTGATCCGTTCGCTATTACGTATACCACTAATGATATCATTCGTGGTACAATATTTCTGTTTTTATACCAAGAAAAATCATATTTATATTGAAGCATTCAAGTAATATTATTAAATATGATATTGTTTTCAATTTGCTCTTTTCTATATTTATTATAAATATCTTTCTCAAACTATACACATAATGTAACTTTAAATCCTCTCTTGTAATTTATGAATTACATAATAAATTGACAAGATATATTTCTATTTAATAGTTAACAACATATAATTATATTAACAATATATAATCTTAATGTCAGAACTATAATTAATAATATGTTAAATAGTACTACGAACTAGCTTTACGCTAATCTTGAATATTTTTTCTTCCATGAATCTATGTAAATCGATATCCTTCTCCTCCTTACTCTGTGTGGCATGTATACCATTAAAGTCCCAATAACTCATTTGTACTATCCCCGATTGTTGAAAATTCAAAATTTTTACATTAAAATGTTGTCGACGACCATATTCATCAATGTACATAATGCCTGTTATTTTTCCTTTCTTTGATATCTATTTAAGAAAAAATTAATTTTCTTATGTTAAAAATAAGTAATGAAGATTTGATATTAATTTTTCAATATTTTTTCATGAATGTTTATTTGAATACAGTTGTGTTCAAGTAGTGAACATTAACGCAGTTATTATGTCAGTCACATTTATTAATAAAGAATTTATTTTTTTATGCAAATATATATAAAAATATAAGAAAATCATTATTAATTAAATTTTTCTGATAACTTACTGATAAATTACTTTCTTCATAATGTGTATTATGAAGAATAATAAAAATCATATATACATATATTCTTAAGATTTAAAGCTAAATTACCACTTTTTTGTTATATAAGAAGTTATAAAAAAAGTTCTTGCCTCTTGCATAACACTGATAATATTAGACCCTGCTGCATACAATGTAGTTTTATTGATACAAGAAAATCGTATAGGATCAATGGACGTATTTTTATTTTCAATATTTCTTGCAGTTAGAGTCTCTAATGCCTCATGCAACAAAAATACTGCATCATAGAGGATCATTGAATCTAGCTATATCAAAACCGCGAATTAGTTCAAATAATTAATTTAATTTTATATAATTTTTTATTTTGAATTTTTAATATTAAACACCTATGTCACCTAATTCAGTCTAAACGTGAAAGCATTAAATAGACGTTGATTTGTCTGCTAAAATAAATAAATAAATACTTTCTTTTTTTTTAAGTGCTTGCGCAACAAAAAATTGTACAGAAATATTTTTATTTTTCATAGATATATTGACTCGTTGATATTTATAAGTAATATTTTATTAAACATACAGTGTAAAGGATCCTCGATCTTGATCTTGAGTGACAACAGATTTTAGGTAGCGGTCGTCCTTTGTTAAAAAATTATTAACAAAAAAAGTTTGAAAAATGGTGTCTCTTTTCTACTATATGAAACAGAAATTTTCTGCTTTAAAATATTGTATATTTTACGATGAATTATACTTTCCACGCGAAGCAATTCCCACCCCACCCATTCCTCCCTGCTTAGGAGCGCACAACTTCCACGCGAAGCGAGTTCCATCTCATCTCGCCAAGTTGCTTCGCGTAAAAAATCGAATACCCTTGAAGTAGAAGGGAGGTAAAGCGAAAGTTGCTTCGTATAGAACGTCGTAAAATATATTTTAAGCAGAAAACTTTTATATAGTAGAAAAGAAACACCATTTTTCAAATTTCTTTTATTAATAACTTTTAATGAAGAACAATCGCCATCTAAAACTTGTTGGAGATCACTCAAGGTCACCCTTATGCATTTATCAATATTTTTTTGTTATAATTTTTCACTATCA